TTAATCACTAAAGAGTTCTTTTGTTTGACCAAACCATACCTAGCAAAAGTCCTAGCAAACAGAAAGATCACTGGTGGTGATCAATTCACCGTAGCCAAACCATACCATACCATTATCACTTTGCTCTTGACCAAACCATACCATGATCACTGGTGTTAGGTCCCAGAAAGATCAGACTGCTAGAGAAGTATGACTCACTTTTGCACATTTGCGCTCCCTGGTGGTTATTAATTCCTGGCGCATCCTAGCGCTCAAATGTATGCATACTCCTTCACTTGGCGTTCACCAAACTCAGGCGTTCGCTGGAAGATCCCTCGGCGTTCGAAGAAAGAAACCATATTCCTTGTGTTCTTCGGTCTTCAGGACGTCACCAATTCTGAAATGGAATAGGTCGACCATATTCTTTTCACATTTTCCAGGTCCATATATTGTTCATTTGTGTACTTAAAGAACAGATTTGCCTCCAGCTACCCTGTTCTGCGGCCACACATGGGTTTTTCGAACGGACATGCGAACGGACGACGAACGGGTGCCATTCATTCCTTTGTTCAGCGACCCTAAGGAAGTCTCTCTCCTTAGGCTGGGCACTGCGTGGGAAGTCTCTTCTTGAAATGTGTTCATTCATCGAAGGGCATGGGATATTGTTTGAAAGACAGACATGACTCTGACACGAAGCATCTCAAGACACGAAACCATTGTATGTGAACATGAAGCTGTAGGCCATTGTAGGCCATTCTGGTTCTCAAGACACGTATCATGTGCCTGTATGAGTGAGACCCAACTCATGTTGAAACCATTCCTTCACATGCCCAATTCAGTGATGCCAGAGCAAAGCACTAGGGACTAGGGGTCAGCAGGAGTACATGGAGGTCTCTTTCTCCAAAAGTCAACGGTAGAGGACGGCACTACTGCAAACCTTATGTAGAAGGCAACAAGTCAAAACCAGCCAAACATGCACAGCTTCTTTGAGGGAGAAGTCCGTCCTTCAATGTAGACACTTTTGTTCTGCACACATCTGCACGTTTTCTTCACCACGACCGATCCGATTCGGGGAGGGGATGGACCACCTTCGACCTTGGACCATGTTCGACCCGCTCGGATGGTTGTCAATTGGCCAGGAACCACCTTGAACTCCTTCTTCAAAGCCAAGTCAGCACCAGCAAGGCACGAATCGGTACCGAGCCGGTAATCTCGGCATTGTCGTCATGGAGATCGCTAGGTCGAGATACTCAAGACCAAGAATAAATGTCAGTAATTAGAACAGATGTAAGATCTGTGCCCTCTTGAACCCGCCATGATGCAGCAGGCAACGTCGATATCAATGAGTTGGTCACATGATCAGTCTCTATAGAACCAATGACGTGGATGAACTTGAAGAAGTCACAGTGCAACATAGTTCAACCATTTTGTTCATATTAATAATATCACATATGCATACATATGCCATATATGTACAGAACCACTGTGGATGAACCTCTTTGCTTCATGTGCATGCGACACTCGTGTGGCTGTTGACCTCTGTTGACTGCCCGTCCTGGCTAGTTCGCGCCAGTTCGCTCAGGAGCTTGCAACCGCCACCCACCAAGCTGGTTTGGTCTTCCCAGCACCACTCCGCACAGCTGGGCCGAACGTGGGAGAATGAGGGTGGCCAACATGGGATGGAAAGCTTCGAACAGCAAACGCCAACAAAGTTGTGCTTCTGGGTATTTTGCTAAAAGCTGCGGGTCATTGGGGCCTGTGGAAAGTATATAGTAATTATAGTTGTTAGCCTAGCAGATCTTCAGAAGCTTGAGCTTGCGTTGCAGGATGTTGCAGGTACTTGTTGAGTCCTGCACCAGCTAGCCTTATGAAAGATTGAGCTGAGGAAAGGATTTCCTTGAACCCTTCAGCCACATCATCCGAGCCAGGCAAAACGACCTTCGCCACCAAACAGGTCCACCATGGTCCACCACCTAAGGGTTTCCGACATTTTCAGTCATGGAACCCAATCCAACTATTTATATATGAGCCACGGTCAAAACATGCGAAGACCACTTTAGTAAAGAGGGGTAGGTTTGTGCACAAAACCCTGCAAAACGATAAGGTCCACCTCAAAACCGATAACCCCAGCGCTGTATATGGTCATAAGTATGCGACGAACTCAAAACGCTGTAAAACGATAAGGTCCACCTCAAAACCGATGACGTCCATTTTTTAGCTGAAGAAGAATAAGGAGTTTTGACCGTCCCTCATATATATATATATAAAGAGCAGGATCATCTAATGCATGTCCAATGGAGGTCCATATGTGGTGTAGGGGAGTTTATTGCTGACTATATAATGTTGTTATATGGTGTTTATTGGATTTGATTGGTCTATATAGATGCCTTCCATGCGGTCCATGCTATGGCCTGAAACGCCGGCTGACCCGTGCACTGACCCGTGAGTCAGCGCCCCAGACCATGATGTCCGCGCCACCGGTCTTGCGCTTCCACGAGACCTTCATCAGCCGGGCCGTGAAGATGCTCGGATCAAGGAGGCTTCTGAGTGAGGTAGCGAAAACAACAAACTATTTGGAGAAGCGAACCTTGCCATGAAAACACTATGAAAGCCATGTGGAAAGGCAAAGTGGAATGCTTGGAAGCTGAAAACATCCAGGCTTGGGAAACCTTCAGAGCTGGCTGGGGTGGGGTAACTTTGTGGTGGATACGAGATGATACGAGGACAGTGGTGGTTTTAGATTGTGCTGGAGAGACGGTTGGATGAAGGGTACCTATTCACTATACCATATATGCATCTATCAGATCACGGGCTAGGTGCACAAGAATTGTGTATACGTTTGTTCAGATGACCTCTTTGGTGAGATGGACTGCCATGCATCCTGCAGTGAAGACCACGTTTTCGGGACCGTGAAAAGCCATGCCTCAGGTCTGAGGCACATGAAAACCTGAAAGCACATCTTTTGCAAATCAGAAGATGATAGACATCAGGGCTCCACCGCCGTTCAGAATACGACCACTGGTCAAATAAAGAGCCCACTCGGAGGTTGGCAAGTAGACATGTAAAGATCCTCTTCTATAGGGATCCCGCGTTCCAGGATATCCCCTTTGGTCGCCTTTTATCATGTGAACTACTGGGACTTTTGCTGTTTTTTTGAGTTGGCGGTTGGATCATCTAAGGACGGATATTCGAAGACGAGTCGCTGAGAGGATTTGCACCTCGGTTTTTGGGTTGATGGGGGAGAGGAGACTCGTCGCTGCTTGGAGCCGGGATTTGGATCTCCGCAGCTCCTGAAAAGTGATGAAGTCGTGTTTTTGTTCACTACGCACCCTCTACAGCTGGAGGGTCTCTTTGTCCTGCACAGCTCCTTTTGTTACTTTGGAACATGGAAAAAGGGGCAGTCAAATGGCATCAATCCACCCATTGCGATTCTTTTCTCAAACAGGAAGTGTCCACTTCCGGGTGATGAAATGCACGAGGCTTGATACTGCCATTGCTCTCGGCCTCTCACTTGATGGTTGGGACCGCAAGGTGAAACCACCACCTTCTTGCGGACCTCCTCCGTTGGAAGGTGCGCGCAGTTGGGGAAAGTGTGGATTCCAGGAGGGGCTAGGCAAGAAGGGTGGGGGCTGAGAGCATACACGGATGATTATGTGCATATCAGAACGTAGATGACGACTCTTGTGTAATTAATGTGTACATCATTGTAATTTTGTTTATGCATATCTGCTGACATAATAGTTCAATTCAATATAGACACTGTTCATCCGTTGAAAACTGTGACGATAGAGGGGACGTGGCAACTGGTGGCAAGGGCCATCTAGATTTACACAAAAAACATGGCTGGAACCTGAGATGTTGTTGTTTTTTTAGACAAAGTCTTTGCTCATGTGATTCCAATGGCCCTGCATCTTTGGTTGCATTGGATTGGACAGGATAGGATGCCAGGTTTTTGAGATTTTGACATCTGGAAAGAGCCCAGATCTTCCAGACAGCAAGATAGCTGTGTCTAGACTTCCATGGATTTCCGGATTTCTGTGTCTCGTGCCAGTGGCGGCTTGGCCTTAGTCTCCAAGCCCTTAGAAGTGCGTGACAACGCCCGGGGTCCTGAGGGCCGGCGGGCCGGCGGTCCTGGGGTGTGAAAGTGAGAGAGTTAGATTGGACAGCCGCAAATATATAGATGTGTTTTATCATGTTGTATCTGTATATATATATATATACTGTAGTCATTTTGAACATATATATATATATGTATACATGTATATAATACGACATACATCATGATGCGACATCCAGCCAGATGACGTCACTCATGCCTCACGCTGAGATCCCAAAGCTTGCAGATTCACCCTAGATACAGTATATGTTATCATGTTAGCACAAGCCCCACCAAGATGGGGAAGACAGGTATGTACTGGGAATTCACGAAGTCTGAATTCTCTTTTCCACTGGGAATTCCCAGTCCTTTCGACGCGTAAAAAGATCCTGAAGAGTGGATGAATGACGTCCATGACGTGTGCGTGCCCAAAAGAAAAAAGGGGCTTCGTCTCACATCTTAGGTCTGCCCTGATGCGCCAAATGCCTATGGCGTGACCTTTGATGTGGTGGTGGAGGAGAATTCGAGATGCTTCCATATGCCACAAGCTGTATAATATAAAGAGGTTGCAGATGTTTGCAGCCAAAAGCCATGGTTTGAACCAACATCTTGTATTAAGTGTTGAGGGAAACTGTCCACTATGGTCCACCCATGCACCCCGCGAAGTGGATGCAGGAAGTGGATGCCCAAAAGCATCGAGACGGCTTGGCCATCGGCTTCACGGCAGAGGCACGTCCAGTCGTTCTTGACCATGTCAATTGCTGTTTGAAGATATCGACAAACTTCTGCATATACATGTTTGACGTGGTTCAGTTGATTCCATACTTGGAATTCCACAGAACCATACAGATTGAAGGAGTGACATCCTCCATTGATTTGACTTGTGTACTGTGTACTTCTGCCATGTTCATGCACCTTCTCTTGGTTTTTGCTCTAGCCCGGCTCGAACCCGGGCTTTGACCTTAAGTATCGGTGGGGAACTTCTCTCACCAGTTGTTCGGGAACGAGACATGACCGACGCGGTGGAGTGGGCCACTATGAAAGCCGGGCAGGGCATGATGTCTGGAGCTGCTCGTTCAGGGCGTAGTTTTGGTGCTTTGTGTGCGCTTTGTGTTTTTAGTTTGCTACTCGGGTGGGAAGGTGAGTGAGTGGTAGAGTGACATGGTGTGAGATACAAATCTAAATGTCATTGAAGCATATTGAGATGTATTGTTATGAATTCGTCGTTTTGACCGTCAGGAGATGCTTGCTGTCACCAAATTGCTGCGGCATCGAAAGGCCAAATCACTTGTTCTAAGGAGATCAACAAGAACTGGCTCTTCTGCATCCCCATCCAAGTGGGCCCTGCCACGGAGTACGCGCGTGGTTTGAGGCACTGGTTTGCCTTCATCATCCTGCTGCAGGCGGGGAGTCTGTGGCTCCGGTGATTGATGATACTAATGGAATGTTGGCTTCATGGCCAAGCTTGTCGGGACAGGATGTTCACGACCTAAAATCACCGAGTTACTTGAAGTTGGCACAGGTTTACCCAACATGTGAAGGATAAATTATGTGCTGTAACACTTGATATCAATCACGTAATTATACTGCCACCCCAATGTTCAATATCGACTGCCTACATTCTTGAGCACAGAAAAAGCACACCGGGACAAAGTTTGTCTCAACATGTGACACCTCTTTTGGATCTGAAAGTTCACATCCTAACCTTGGTTGAAACATGTTGAAGTCGTACTGGTTACTAGTCCCCTTCCATGGAGCTCGTTGTTGCACAGTTCCTAAATCCGCCTTCAAAGGGTTCGTGCTGCTCCATCCCGAAAAGACACTTCATACTTCCCAGAGCCTCTTGCTTAGTCCTCGGTCAGGTTGAGGACTCAGCATGGGATCTCACCTAATCCGACCGGATCAGCTGGGGAGTTCCATGACCTCAGGTGGCTGAAGGTGTTTGCCAGTTGGTCTTAAAGACGGCCTTGCTGAACGCCTTGTACATGGCGGTGGCGGCATTCATTGGCCTCTATGCTTGGTATCAGGAGCGGCCGACAAAAAGTCGAACATCGAAAACCAATCCAACACCTGAACCAACATGCGGCCCAGAAACTTTGAACATGTTGCAAGAGGATGCTCCTACTCTGTCAGTTTAAAGCTGAGGGTGCCTATAATATGCGTTTGTTTGTTGCAGACTATCAGGGTCACCTTCCCGACACCAGTCTTTTACCAACACAACTCTTTGGGACTTTGGATGCACCTCACCGGACACCGCCAGCTGGTCAGACACCGGCAGACGTGATCGATCGTCCCCCTCCCACTTACTACCACAAAAAAAAACAGGTGCTTGAGGGAAGAGACATACCCGATCATACCCACAAGTGACGAAATGACATATACTAGTCGACATACTATGACACACACACACACGCTTTTTTTTTGCCAGGACATGAACATCACCTACGTTTGCCTATGGGGCCTCACATCCCTTTTCCTGGGCGTCATGGCCATCATCTCCAACCTCATCCCGGCGCTTGGGACGCGACGTGGGGGGCCCCCGCCACGTGAGGGTAGTGAATGTGGCCTTTATATTCGCCAAACCTGGATGGTGGGTTCAAGCAAGTGAGATGTGCAGTCAACCTTGATTGAAGACGTGTTGTTTTTTCCCCCAATCGATTGAAGACTTGTTCTCCAGAGCCTGCGCACAAAAACCCTGCATGTGACATGGCATGATCTATTGTATGATTGTATGTATATTAATATGCAAATTAGGTGTAAGTATGTAATTCATTGAGTTTGTATATTAATATATATACCTTTGCCTTATTCCAAGATGACGCACTTTCCAAGATGACACACTGCCCCAGTGTGTCTGAGCCGCAGGTCATCACTGGCGTTTTGTCGTTGGACGTGGTGGGGCTCGTGTTGGCGATCAGCGGTCCACTGATCTACGCACTCGCTGGAGCCTTCGCGTGGCACCTCTATAACGAGCCTGGATGGTTTGAGACGAGAAGAGATGGTGTTTGTTTGTTTGTTTCTATATCATATCTATTATATCTATTGCTTATGAATCATTGTTATCTCTCTATATATCATCTTGCCAGTTGCCTTATCCAGGGGTTCATATATGGTTTTAGTATGTGTTAGGGAACTATTGGAAACAGTTACCAGGCATTAAGAGGTTAAGTTTCAGACTCACCAAATGATTCCTCCTGGTTTCAAACGAATCTCCCCACCAATCGTTGGGTCCGGGTCGGATGACCCAATCAGTTCGGGAAGCCACACCGGGCGAAGCAGAGCCTGTCCGACACATACGCAAGAGTCGACAAGAGATTTCTTTCAGCCGCCAATGAGAGGTCACTTTCAGATGTGGCTTCTCACAGATGTCTTCTACGTTCTGCAGTCTCGATCGCCTTCAAGAACTCTCCGGAGATCTCCTGGATCTCGGGAGATCGCGCAACCGCGTTTGCGCTCGCGCTTGCGCGATCCGTGCCCACCGAGGACTATGCCGAGGATCATGGGCGCAAGGCCTCCTCCTTCGACCCCTTTGGGCAGTATGGTGCCAAGTACGACCCCTTGGCGAAGGTGCCCATGTCCGATGCTCGGAACAACGAGAAGGAGTGAGACAACGGAACACGCCGCAATCGTTCGTCCGAAGGACGAAGCGTGGTCCTTAGGGGTGTGGACACGGACCAGTGTGTGCTTGCACTGCTTTCTTCGTTTCTTTTGGTCTTACAGTGTGGACCAGCTTGGCATCACAGATCATGAACATGTGATTCGGACATTTCATGAACACTGGACACCCTGCTGAATCCACGTTGCGATGTGGGGGATCACAAATTGCTAGACAGACAATGAAAACCAGAGAGGAAGGCGGAAGGCCCATCCACTGTAATTGGTGTACTGCTGAACAATCTGTATATCCCACCCTTCAACCACCCTGAACTGAACTACCTCCCACCTCTCACTCCCAGTACCCTCTGAGCCCTGCAAACTCCCCGCCAGGAGTTCAGATTCGTATTTTGTATTAACTGGTCACTTCGAGAGCCACCCCGACATCAAAACACGGAAACGCCCTATAGTAAAGATTAATAAAACTGGTTTCTATTTGACCGTGTTTTGTGTTTGTCCGACTCCGCTTCGCATGACATCTATACGCACCTAGACCCATACGCACTACTCGGACCGTCACCCGTCCCCGAGGACAGCGTCTTGGACCAGGCGGCGGGCCGCTTGTTCGACTCCCACAGCCCCGGCGCCTTTGGTCCGGCAGGCCACGCGGGAAGTCCCGAATCTGACGACTGAGACGGAACTCCGCCGACATGGTGAATAGACATGGACAGTGTAATTGTTCATGCTTCTTTCCAGCCAGGGCCATTCACCTTGTGCCATGCTAGTCAGGCAGAAGTATGGGATGGGTTTCAAGATGTTTCAATCATCTGGGAATCCCAAGAACTCTTCACATCGCCTGCAACGGCTTTCCCAAAGCCAGAGTCGGAGCCTCCCCCGGCGTAGTACGTGGACCTGACCTAGGGCGATGTGGATGTTGGGACTGGGACTCAGCTGTTGGATTCGCCCGCTGCCATGGACTGCCGTCGCATCCGACAGCCACGTCCCGGCGCCGGAAATCACTCCCTTGTGGATCCAGACGTGGCAGGCTATGGCGCTGCGGTCTCAGACGACATCTTCCAGGGCCGACGTGAGAGGGGAGGGGTTTGCTGCTAGAGCGAGCGAAGCCGCGTCCAGCGGATGCGGAGATGCCGAAGGTGCAAGAAACCCGGGCTGGCCGGCTAGATGTGTGGCATTGTTTAGTTGTGGGGTGGGTGGGTCAGACGGCGGGTTGGTGGGTGGGTAGAGGTTTTCAGAACAGTTGTAGTGATTGTTCAATCAGCAGCAGACCCTTCTGGCCGTGCAGGGTGAGCAAAAAGTTTGAAGAGACAGGACGTCGACAAGCTGTTGATTGTGACTTATTGACATTGGCGTGTTGCTTCCAAATTCCGCAGCTTTGGAAACCACTTGGATGTTCCATGTTTGCAGCACGTGGAGGTTCAACAACTATACTATACTTCTTGTTGGTGCTAAACAAAGACATTGAAATCATGTTTGATTGCAAATGGGAGACGTGTTTTCACCACTGAAGATCACCAATTGCATTTCTCTCAGCTGGGAATTTGGGGGCTGATTCCTTCTGTCTGAGTATGTGACGAAGCTCGGTCTGTGAGAAAAGCAACGCCGTGGTTTGGAGATGTTTTTACGCCATGTTTTGTGATGGGAAATTGTTGAAACAAACGCAGGTGAAAAAAGAAGAACATGCAGTGCATGTACCCATGAAAATCATGAAATGACAGGTGCACAAAGTGAAAAATTCGATCGCAGAAGATGCTGGCAAAGTTAAAACTCATTGTAAAACTCATAGTAACGCCAGAATGACTGTCATTCCACTATGCCTTGCTGGGTCCATCCGGAAAGGCCAAACGTTTGCGTGACAGGTTGTTTGATGGATGCAGGAAAGCGGAACCCTCTCACCACATGCTGCTCAAATGCCGCTCAGGTATATGTTTGACTAACCAAACATTTTCATCCCCAAACTAGATCCCAAACCATCCCAAAAAACCTCAAGAAACTCACCACTTCAGCACCATGGATCGCTGTCCTTGCGACGGAGGCACCCGACACCTGGCCTTACCATCGGAAGGCGATTCCGCAAACAGCGCTGGAGATGCCCAGGACGACCGGCGTGTTCGTGGAGGTGAAAGAGGAGACAGTATTGTATTGCATCTACAGTATATGTAACTATCCATCATTATATTGTACAGAACTCATTGTATTATATTGGATTATAAATCTACAGTGAGACTATATGTAAATTAGTATATGTATACATATGTAACTACAGTCAGTGAGACTACAGTGAGACTATTGTATTGTATTACATAATCTCCAAACTACAGTGAGATGATGCAATACCAGTATCCAGTAGTGAGACTACTGTCTCACTGATATTGATAGACAGTACATGATATATAATTAAGTATCCATCAAGAGTCAGAAGAACAGCATAAATCCCTAGATGTTCAACATGTAGCAAAGTAAAGTATTTTATTCTAGGTCCGTACGTATTCGGTGCCACAAGCTTTGAGGATGTGCCCTAGGCGCCGGACTTCACCAGGATCTCAGTCCCTGATGATAGACCAATTCTCGTTAACGTCAAACTAAGCCAACCCTTTTCTGTGAACAAACATAGGAAACTCACAGACCCTTTGCATAGAGGAGAAGTCTGATTTTGATGGTGGGGTTTATCTAGAAGTGTTGTCTTAGCCTGATTTTGGTCCGGGGTTGGAGCCAAAGAGTCCTGAGCGGGGGTATTTTTCCCACTTATTTGCACACAATCATTCGCAGCCTTAGTGTTCATTCAAAAAACTGACGACCACGGTGTTCGTTTCGCACGAGGGAGTCGGAGTGGAACCAAGTGTTTCTACGGCTTTTCCTTTTTTAGGGACCTCGAAGGGGTGAAAAAACGTGAGCGACACCAGTGACCCATGACTCACCTCAATTGGGTCGTGCAGGAGTTGCCTGGTGGGATACAGTGGACGATGGGTGGCGCCAGGCAGAGCCTTTGTAGACAGACGTTCTCTCAGCAGAGACAATCGGCTCAAAGCAGCGGTCGCCCGTCACCCAATGGGTTTAGAGATGGTCAACATCCGCCAATCCGCGGATTGGCGGTGAGAATTTCAACATGCCCATCATAGAAACCAAGCTGATTGCGGATTTGAAACTGAGTTTAGAGACAGTTGCGTTGGGACAGGAATTGCACCTGAAGACCTGGAACCACTAACACCGGTTTTGGTATTTGAAAGAGTTTGAACGTAGTACATATTTTCTGGGTTCAGAAATTCCTTCATGGATGTGTTCAAAACCTACAATCCATACCTTATCTATTTTACAAGAATGGCTGTGCCCAACGATGGCGCCAGGTCAACGTGAGTTGGTCCAGGCACGTGGGGTATTTGGGTCACCTGGGTCCGTTTGCGTGCTCGGTCGATATGACATAACAGCACCACCATGCAGAGCTGAAATGCTACCCTCTACCCACCTCTGTCCGAAGTAAGAAGACAAAAGCCTGCAGAGAAAAACTAAAGAGGTTTGTTCCGTTCCAGCGCGTGGTGATTACAACCTCAAGCACAGCAGATGTTAAAGCATGTTTAAACACATTGGAAACAACGAATTGCGCGTTGGAGAAGGACAATCAAGTCTGATATTCGATCCTTTCTTTGGTTTGGAGCATTTCCAGTCCTTTGAGGGATTTGTTTTGGGAAGACACCGATTTCGCAACGGGTGTTCGGAGGGCCCCATCTTCCAAATCAGTGAAGCCATTGGAAGGTCGCCGTAGATAGCTTCATCAGGGGAGGGCATGAGATCCCCCCGCGTAACTACTGTACATCGTTTCAAAGATTTCCAAGATCTTCCATGGCATGTTTCATCCAAGGATGTGACATGTGGATTTGTGAGAAAGTCCAGTTCTATTGGGGGGTGTACTTGAAATAGGCCGGCCCCGAAGACGAAGATTAAGATCTTGCACTCCCTCAACTCATTCGAGGTTGTTATTTCTATTTCAGTTCTTTGTGAGCAAGGGCCATTTTGGATCGTATTATAATGTATTATTCCAAGACTCCTGACATGAGGATGTCTCCCAGCTCCGAAAAAACAATTGAATCTTCTACTTCTCCCTAAAGGGAACACCCAAATCGACTCGATACCAGGAATACTGCGGCAGACACGCAAATGTGATAATATCACCAGGATTTCTCCACAGGTGGTGCCTCGGATGACATCTTTCAGCCTCGCAGGGTGCCTACAATCCGGCCGCTTTGAAGCGTGGCGATGCCCGGTGGCCTTGCCCTTCAGTCGGCACTGAACGGCAGTGCTGGCAGGATGTGAGCAAGAAATGTCAGGGGTTGTTAGCAGGTTCAGACTAAAACAGACACCTGCTCCTTTGGGATTGCCGCAACCAACATCTTACTACTCTAGAGTGAGAGCGACTCAAACAGCTTGTAACTGCTCATATAGATCCACCTAGCAACCAACTAACTAGAACAGTTCGGAATCACTGGAACTGTTGGCCATGCAGAACAATCAGAACAACATGAAGCAACAAAGTTGGAACATTGGTGGTTTGTAGCACAGGATGCAGCAGCTTGCAGCAAGGATGTGGATACGATAATTGTTTTAGAGGTCAGGATCTATGTTAAATTCTCGCCTGAAGGACCAGGTCAAAAACTACATGCCATGCCGTAATAGATGCCTCATGATGCCCCCCTTGGAGATAGAACTATGTGTACATCATCAATCATCATCTGTATACCCCAAGCCATCTCAGGACGCCAATCGGTTGGATTCTGACGCCATCATCATCATCATCATCATCATCATCATCATCATCATCATCATCATCATCATCATCATCATCATCATCATCATC